GCCTCCAAAGGGCCGGCCACAACTCAACCTTACAGCGCTCACTCTCGCCCCCAAAGTCAAAGGGTCTTTGAACAGGCTCTCTGTAGGTACCTTTACCTGCCCAGGTGCTTTCAAGCCAGCTGTCATATGGAAGGCACCCGCCGCAACTCCATCACATGACGGCATTCGAGCAACTCATTGGACGCCGGAAGCTCCAAAAGTGACCAGAGTACCTGCCTACCTGACCACCCACTGGTCTTACCTGATCCATCTTCGATCCAGAAACGCCGTCCTGCGGCCAAGACCTAGAAACCCGCGTGGGATTTCTTGTCCACTTTCTGAAAAGTCGCCTTTGCTAAATCGTGTGTTTATTTGCCTTCGTCCTGAAACAAGAGCTCCCATTCTCTCCCCGCGAAACACCGAATCGTACCACCCCGAGATTCTCGCCAGCGATAACAAGCGTCCGATGCTCCCGACAACACCCCTCCACTTCGTCACACCCATCTGCTAGCAGCACTGCAGATCGTAGTGCAGCCGCGCGACAGAGGAACGCCTGGGAGACGGAGGTGAAGCGACAGCAGCCATGGGGGGTTGGACCGGCTTCTTGTTCACCTATCTCCTGGGAGGCCTGACCTTCATACCTTTGGTCGTCGTCACCGTCTTCGTCCATGCCTACCTGACTCTGCCCTACCGCCAGGATGCCGACACAAGCCTTGACGCCGATGGCGGTCAGGACCCCGTCGTGCAGCCCGGGGACGATCTCACGGCCCTGCAAGCCGCAAAGGCTGGCGATAAGGAAGACGGCTCGGCGAAGCGGCCTGCGACCCAGGATAACGACGTAGCAGCGGGGTACTTCGCCGTGTGCCGTGAATACACGCCCATGGGGATCAACGCGAAACCCATCGAGCGAGCCACACCCACGGGGTCGACTACTGTTGCCGCGCCGAGCCAGAGTGTCTACCAGACCATGTATAAGAGCATCTTCGAGCGGAAGCCGACACCAGGACCTTTGGACAGGAATGGATTGAGCCAGCGTCCCAAGAACGCTGGCAACGTCTTCTATGTTGTTCTCAGGTCGGTGCACCCTGTCCATGCGCCTGACGACTTTGACTGACAAGTACCAGGCATGGGCATCTGATGCTCTTTGACGATGACGAGCAGATCGAGGTCCGACACGTTATATCACTTGCGCACCACGATGTCAGTATATACTCCGGTGGAGACGTAACGCCTGAGGGAGAGTTGTACATCAAACGGAACGCGTTATGTTTGTCGAGGAGGCCAGATGGCCCGGAGGTTGGTCCGGACAGTCAGCTCTCCAAACCGTTCTACCTCTTCTCGGAGAACTGCTCAGCAAAGGAAGACTTCTACTTCGCTTTGCTCCGCAACCAGGAGCAGACTTTTGGCAATGACCGGATAGCGCCCAAACCGAAGCAATTTGAGGTCAAGAACATTATATCTTTGGTCCAGAAGCTGCACTCGTCCGAGGAGCATCTGTCTACTCGATGGCTGAATGCCATGATTGGACGCATATTCCTCGGAATCTACAAGACGACCGATTTGGAACACTTGATTCGAGAGAAGCTCACTAAGAAGATTGCGCGGGTGAAGCGGCCGTCATTCCTCACTAACATTGCCATCCGCGGGATTGAAACTGGCGAATCAGCCCCCATCATCACCAACCCTCGCCACAGGGACTTGAACGTGGAGGGCGAGTGTGTGATGGAGGCAGATGTACGGTACACTGGAAACTTCCGAATCGAGGTGGCTGCGACAGCTCGCATCGACCTTGGGTCACGATTCAAGGTCCGCGAGGTCGACCTCGTTCTCGCTGTGGTCTTGAAGAAGCTTGAAGGACACATGCTCTTCAAGATCAAGCCGCCACCGAGTAACCGAATTTGGCTCTCCTTCCAGAGCCAGCCGAAAGTGGAGATGACCATCGAGCCTATCGTGAGTGCTAGGCAAATCACCTACACCATTATTCTACGACAGATTGAAAACCGGATTAAGGAGGTTATTGCGGAAACTTTGGTGCAACCGTTCTGGGACGACATGCCCTTCTTCAATACAGAGCATAAGAAGTGGCGAGGCGGAATCTGGGAAGACGATGACGCTGTCGTTGGCTCGCCTAGCATGGAGGCTCACGTCGCACAAGAGGGCGATGTGGAGGGGGTTGACCGATTGGAGGACACAGGGGACCTGCAAAGCGACCTCAGACCAAGCGATATGAGGCCGTTCGAGAAGAGTCACAGCATGCCGATCGTTGAGAACTCGTCACACACTGGCTTGTTCGGCAGGAAGATACAAGGCAAGGGAACCAGCAGCCCCTTGAACAGCTCGTCCACAAGCGTCGATGTCGTGGGCTCGCCTACACCACCGGCATCTAAGCCTAAGCCGTTTAGATCGCCATCCGTATCGAGTCCAGCGAACCCAGTGGTCGGAACGGATGCGGCGCACGCAGACATGTTTAAGCCGTCCAGCTCACCGCCGGATCACGCATCCAGTATGATGGCAGCGCTGTCAGCAAGATCCCAAGGCAACTCCGCTGCCGCAACACCCACCGATACTCCCGCAAAGCCACCACCCGTCGCAAAAGCACGAAGCCAGTCCTCTGCATCCTCTCGCGAAGCTACTGACAATGAGAACGAGACCGATCGAACGCCAGTAGCTAACAAAAGACGAAGCACGACATCATCCGCCGAGTCATTACGAGCGACCGAGTCAACAGATCCAAGCTCAACAACGGCGGCATCCTCGAAAGCAGCTTCGATCAAGAGCGCTACGGGCTCAATCTCTAAGGGCTTGTTCAGGCGAGATACGAGCAGCACGGTGGCATCGAGCGCTGCTTCTACAAACGGCGAAGGAAAACGCACTACGCTTGCTGCCGTCGCAAACGCTGCAGTCACAGCAAGGCAGTGGGGTTGGAACGCTCTCCAGAAACACAAGGACGCCAAGAACGGAAACGGCACTGAGCAAAATCCGCCGGTAGACCTGAACCAGCCGATGGGACGAGGACAACCTCTGCCACCACCCGGCACACCCCTCCCGCCTCCCGTGAAGGGTTCAAAGGTCACCACAATCCCTGTGCAGAAGCGGAAGCCCATATCCCCTCCAGAGCTGCCTGAGCGACCCCATTCAGCTGCGCTGTCCGAAAGCCGGCCGGCTCGCAAACCGATCCCGCCCCCGTTGGTCGAAAGCAAGTCGGACCGCTCGGAGCGCAGACCAGTGCCGCCTCCCCCGCTGCCCTCACGCCGCCACATCGACAACAGCAATGACGGCGGTGAGAACATGCTCGTCGTCGAAGCGCCCCTCGACTCTGAGCCCACCACCCCGATGGACGAGAACGGCCCTCCACCGGCATACGTCCAGCCATGGGCCGAAGACACGGAAGACTATGAGGAACCGATCTCTACGACCGCTCCCTCCCGCGAGAGCCGTGGAAGCAGCGGCAGCACCACCAGCGAAGAAGCAAGCCGCACCCCGCCGCCCCTCCCCGAGAGGCGCACGAGCCCCATCGAGGCGGTGCCCGCCAACATGGACGATGATGATGACTACTCCGCGTGGATGGAAGACGATAACACCAACGACGTATACGAGGAAGAGAACAAGAAGCCCATCCTCACGGGAAGTAATGGGACTGCGGCCCCCACGGCAGCGACGAGTTAAATATTGGACTTTTTGTTTGTTTCTTTGGCATCAGGGTTCCTAGGATTAGGGGAAATCGGGTTCGGGCAAACGGAAGGGGCGTTATTTCAGGATACCATGATCATTACCAAGCAGCAGCAGCAGCATAAAGAAGGAGAGAGCAAGGACGCAACAGACGTTTGATACACTTAAAAAACTGTTCCTGTACATATGATGGTTAGTGTCCCCGGGCTGAGAATAGCATATCCACACTTTATCAAGACAACCGTCGACTTTATGCCTGTGTATCCGAGTGAGTCTGTTCTGGCTGTGGTGGACCTTCACCATCCGTCCGGGCCGAAATTACGACAAGCAAAGAAGCTAACCTCGAAATGCCATCCCCCGTTCACGGGTGGCAGTGCCAGATGACAAACGGCGCCTGAAATATCACATGTCAAGTCGCGGGATGATCCCAGTCGGAGGAGTTCCCGAGTCACGCTAGAACGCAAACGCGTGCGCGCCAAAATGATCAAGGGCAGAAGCAACTTTAGGCATTACATCTACACTAGACTGCCGGAGCCACGCCCCAGCTTAATACTGAACGTAAAAAAAAGAGAGAGTTAGAGAACAAGAGAGGTTGTACATAGAAGATTGTTGTTTTTTTGGTGTGTGTGTGTGTTTGAGTGCCAACACAGTAGTGCCGCGCTGTGTAAAACAAAACGGTAAAGAGGAAAACTCCACACTGATTCCCATCGAGGTGGTTTGTGTTTGTGGTACATTTGCCCAATGCCAATCCATGCATGCTTTAATCCACGGGTCCCCCCAGTTCGCCTCGACACGCCGGTGAAATGAAGAGCTCGGCAAGTTTGATTAACCCAACTCCCCATACGGAACAAGAACAGGTTGCTCCCCGTAGTACAACAAGAGACGGACACAAAAAAGATAAGAAAGAGCCAGCATGATCCAGTAATTTGGAAGTTGGCAATCCCCGGTGGTTTTTTTTCGCGGGTTGGTTTTTAGCAGTGGTGGCGGTAGTGGTGGTGGTGGGTTTGTTGATCAAGAGTCATTCGACTAAGACGCGCAAAAAGGAAATTGGTCGTAGGACGCGATGTCCTGGATGCAAGTCGTGATTGATTAGGTCGGAAACGGAAGGAGAATGGTGCCTTGGGCATGCAGGGTAATCCCAGGCTGTTTAGACGGCAAGGAGAAGGTTGTCATAGACGTCGTGATCCGTTGCGTGCGAGCGAATTGATCATGAGAGTGGGGATGGTGCCCCCGAGCCAGTTGTGGCGTAGCGAGTGGATGGGAAGAATGCTTCATTGCTTTTAAAATTACTTGGGAAGGAAGGCTGCTCAACAGCCGCGTGGAGTTGTTCGATGGGAATGCGAACCACCAGCTTAGGCTCGCGACCTCAAGGTGCTCATGGCAGACGCAGAACGTCCGGGTTGAGAGTGGGAGTGGGAGCCAGAAGGCTGGCCTCTCTTAGAGTGGTGATGAAGTGTACCAACGTCGTGCTTGCCTGTGAACTTGTTAGCATCGTTGTCATGTGAGGCTTCTTGCGGACCAGACTTACCATCGCAGCAGGCGCGCACGTTCTCCAGTCGGTCGGCATCCCGGTCTTGTCTCTCAATAATTTCCCGGAGGTCCTCGGCACTATCGTGCACCTCGCTGGCCTCGTAAATGCTGGAGTTGGGGGCAACTCCACTGCGGCTCCTCATGCTGGAGAAGGTGTTAAAGTAGCCGCTGATCCTTCCCAGGGTCCCAATGGAAGGTCTCTGGGCCTGACCCTTGTTGGGGGTCAGAGTAGGGACGTTCATCGACATGTCAATCGCAGGGGACTGGTTGCGGGTCGTCCTCGAGTTGTACGAGGACACAGATGGGGGCGGCCGTGGGCGAGCCGTGGAGTTGGTGCGACGGCCAAATTGGGGGTTGAACTCGTCCACATCGGCCTGAGTAATGTGCCCAGCCATCTCTTCGACGTCAGACTGGCCCTCATCGGCTGTGCGGAGCAAGAGGTAAGACAGAGCGTTGAACCATGTCTCGTGTCTCTGGCCGGTTGTGCATGTAAACTTGATCGTCCTGCCAGGAGAGATAACAATCAAACTCTTGCGGTGGAGGCCGGGGGGCATGGGGTTGTCGTCCGTCACCACACGAACAGCCTCAATCGGGACACTCTTGCCACGGAGCTCAGATCGACCGGCAGCTGCCGGGTCACGGTCGCTCCAGTACAAGGTGCGGGTGTATGGGTGGACCCAAAAGTACCGTCTGTGTCTGTGTTCGGAGATTTCTCCACGGCCAGCCTTGCGGGTGTACTTCCACAAGTATTCTCCAATCATGGTGGAAGTGATGGCCTGGATCATGCGAGGGTCGGTGTTGGCGCCAAATCCAGATGGGTCCATGCCACCCAGCTCGTTACGAGGGTTGAAGCGATGGTCAATCTCGGAGACGAAGGAGGACACCGATGATTGTCTGCTCATGGTCGACAGCTTAGTCGGGGACTGAACAGCAACCTCGGCGGTTCCGTATGAAGGACCGGCCCGAGCCATGCGAGGAGTAGCCGAGTTCTTGGTGACAATTGACAGGGGAGACTGCGGCCGTCCGCCGTTAGGGGTTTGCGGTCGTTGGCTCCTCATGGCAGAAGCGGGCCACAGAGGGGGTCCCATGCTTCCCTGTGACGATCCAGCTCTGGAGCCAGTCCTTGCCGCCTCGATAGCCTCCTTGTGGTTCGTCGGCAGCGGTGGGAGCGGCTGGTTAAGCATGCGGTTGCTGCTAGCGCTGCTTGGTCTTCCCATCTTTTGCTCGGTGGAAATGCTGCTGAGGCTGTCGTGAGACGGGCGGCGAATGCGAACAGTGCCCGAAGAGTTGGGAGTGCCAATGAAAACCGATGACTTGTCCTGAGCATCGACAGGCTGAGCCTTGGCCAGGAGCATCTCATCGATTGCCTCAGCTGTGAGCGAAGTCTGAGCGCCCATGTCAGTCGTCTGGATCGTGGCCTTGCGGGCAGGGCGACCGTTGGCGTTGGTCGAGATCTCCTTGAAGGGCCGCTGAGACTCAGGTGTCTCAGACGGTCGAACCTCACTAGGGGATTGTCGGGTCTCGTCCTCCGCAATGATGGGGTCGGCCTGGGCCTTGTTCTTGCCGCGACCGAAGACAGAGCCCATGAGGCCGTTCTTGGGCGTTCTGGGCACATCCTCATCGAAAGGCGATTCCATGTCGGCAGGAATGATGAAGCCGTCCCGCTTGGGGCTGCGAGGCGAGATTGGGTGAGTTTCGATCGACTCAATGTTCGAGAAGGCGAAGTTGGGCTTGGGAATCTTGGCCTCGGGCGACTGGACAGGCTCGACTTGCTGGGAGAGAAGCGTAGAGAAGTCCAAAGAGGGGACAGGGTCGGCGCGGGGCGACACGGCCTGGGAGTGAATGTTGGAGTACGCCAGGATCGCAGGGGGAGGCGCGAGGACCTCGGGCTCAGCCTTCGGCTCAATGTTCTCCGACGCGATGGACGAAAGGCTAAGCGCAGGAGGCGGCGGTGGCAGTACCTCAGGCTCAGCAAGAGGCTCAATGTTGGCGAATGAGAGCGAAGACAAGGTGAGAGTCGGGGGGAGCTCAGCCTTGGGCTCGATGTCTTCAGAGGCAATCGCTGTGAGGCTGAGGGTTGGCGGAGCAGGGATGATCTCAGGCTCCTCCCTCGGCTCAATGTTCTCGGCTGCGATTGACGAGAACGCCAACTGAGGAACGATCTTGGGCTCTGCCTTGGGCTCGACATTCTCCGCCACGATGGACGACAGAGTGAGGGTAGGAGGCAAAACCGCAGGCTCTGCTCTAGGCTCAAGGTTGTGGGCATAGAGCGCAGAGAGGCTGAGAACAGGAGTCTTCTGAACGACTTCGGGCTCGGCCTTGGGCTCGACGTGCTCTGAGGCAATGGACGAGAGACTAAGGATTGGAGCCGGCGCCGGCGTCGGAACCGGGATAGGTGCGGGCACGGCCCTGACGGCCTCGGACTCGGGCTCAGCCTTGGGCTCAATGTCCTCAGACACAAGAGCAGACATGGTGAGGTCGGGCGTAGGAACCACAGCCTCGGGCTCGGCGATGGGCTCGAGGTTATGTGCGTGAAGAGCAGAAAGGCTCAGAGCTGGAGGAGGAACTTCAGGCTCCGCAATTGGCTCGATGTCATGAGCTTGCAGCGCAGACAGGCTGAGTGCCGGCGGGAGAACCGGTGGCTCGGCCACGGGCTCGAGGTTGTGTGCGTGGAGTGCAGAAAGACTCAACACTGGAGGTGGCACCTCCGGCTCCGCCTTGGGCTCAACCGCCTCGGAAAGGAAGGATGAGATGCTCAGCGTGGCAGGCGGCACCTCAGGTTCAGCCTTGGGCTCAACAACCTCCGAGACAAGAGGGGTGTAGGCCAAGACAGGGGCTGGAGGCACGATCTCAGGCTCAGCCTTGGGTTCAACCGCCTCAGACACAATCGATGTCATAGTGAGCGGGGCTGGCGCCGGCAGAGGCGTCTCAGGCTCCACGACGGGTTCGATGTCCTGAATATCGATTGAAGACATGCTAAGCTCAGGCAGTGGCGGAAGGACGAACTGCTTGTTGGGGGATGGCGGCATAGGGAACTGCGCGAGCTTCTCGTCCATGTCGTACTGAGCGCCTGCATCGCTGTAGGAAATCGTGGACAGCGGCCGAGACTTGAGTCCGTCGGAGATCTGGTTTGCGGCCACCAAAGAACCAAGTGATGGGATATCTCGGTCATCGTGGACAACGCTGACGGGTGACATCGGAGGAGAGCGGACCATCGGCTCAGTCATCATTCCGGAATCAACCATGGCAGGTCTGGGAGCAGCTGGCCTCTTGACGGGGTCTGTCATGCCGCTGGTGTCGGGAGTGGTGAGAGACAACGAGGGAATGGTCGTCGTGGCTTGAGAAACCTCCGAATCAGCACTCGGGGTAGCAGATCTCGCGCGGCTGGGAGTGCCTTCGACGGACTCGGCATCGCTGGTCTCGAGCTCAGCAAGCTCAGCAAACAGGCTTTGACCACCAGCTTGAGGTGTTCCAGCAGCGCTGCCGGTGGCGGCGCTGGCCGGGCTGCTTTGGTAGGCTGGCTCCTCGCTCGCCTGCCTAGAGCGGCGGTTGAGAAGTCCCCGGCTAAGCTTGACGCGCATGCGTTGATGAGAGTGTTGCGATGTCGGTGTTCGCACGTACTCGACATAGTCGTCGTCTTCATCCGCTGAGGTCGATGCAGTGCTGTCGTAGGAGTTGCGACCACCACTAAGCGCGAAGTTCTGGCGGAGCTCGCGGCCCTTAGACGGGCTCTCAGTCTCGGTTCCGGAATCAGAACCGGAGAGATCCTCGGCGCCGGTCTGGAAGTCCTCAGTCTCAGTTCCCCGCTCGTTCGCGGTCTCGAAGGCGGCATCGCTAGTCTCATTGGCTGTGTCGAACTGATCACTGGTGTCCGTGATCTGCATCCTGCTGCCGGGTCTGCGAACAGTCGAGGTCGAGTAAGAGGTAGGCGATGTTCTGGGGCTGCCAATTTCTGTAGCTTCCTCCCACTCAGCGTCGTCGGTGTAGATCTCGTTGCGGCTGTGACGGTGACCTCCAAGCAGTCCGCGGGAAGGCTTCTTGAACTCTCTAGACTCGACCTTGCGGTTGCGGCGAGCGGGAGCAGGAGCGGCGTCGGTGCGAAGCTTCTCCAGCTCATCGCGGGTGTCCTGAAGCAGTCGCTTAAGCTCGAGCTTCTCAGTCTTCTCGCGGTGGATGACCGTCTTCTGGCTCTGAATGGTGCGCTGAGCGTGCAGAAGAGAGCTCTTGAGAGTCTCGGACTCGAGCATGGCGTGGCGGGGAGTTCCCTTGATAGGGGACGGCGGCGGTGAGTGCTCGGGGGTGAAGCCGTCCGCTCCGCTATCCAGGTCTTCGTCACTAGGGAGACGACCGAAATCGCGGTCAGACAGGCGTCCACGTTGAGAGGAGATGGCTCTGGCAAGCTCTTGGTTCTGGCTCATCAGGTCATCGACCTTGCGCTGCAGCGCGTTTCTTTCCGTCTCGGCGACGGCGGCATTCTTCTTGGCCGTTGTCAAGTCGAGGTCAAGATGCCTGGCGAATCTCTCGTGCTCCTCGGTCAGCTTGGCGATAGACACCTTAGCCTCGTCGAGCTCCTTCTGCGCCGAATTCTTCTCTGCTTGCAAGACATTGAGACTTTGCGTCAACTTCTTTTCGCGATCGGCGGCATCCTTCTGGGCAGCGACCAGGTCGTGCACCTGTGTCTCGAGGTTCCAGTTCTCATCTTTGTACCTGTTTTCGCTCTCGTCTAGTGTCTTCACGCGCTGCTGAAAGCTCTCCGTCTCGATTTCTAGCCTTGACTTTTCGGCCTTGGTGTCTTTGAGCTCCTCATCCTTTTCGGCGAGGAGGGACTGAAGGTTGCGGACTTGTGCGATAAGCGAAGTGCTGATTTCGGCGGCGAACTCGATATCGTGTATGCGACTTGAAGGCTGGTTGCGGACTTTGCGATTTGGTACACTCAACTTGGACGGCGAGCCTGTGGCAATGTTCTCGAACTTTGAAGGGCTGACAGAGCGCTGCAGCGTCGAGGTTAGCGCCAGAGCGCGCATTCATCAGAAGATGCGAAACTTACTCTTCCCATCTTGCCGTCCGGAACATAGGGCGAACCTCCAGCAGCCTCGTTGCTGGGTACCCTTTGCTTGGGCAAAAACGCCCGTGCAGTCTCTCGGGCGACATCATTGAATTCCTTTTCGATTTCGACGAGCTTTGAGCGCAGGTCTGGTGTGAGCTCTCCTTCAGTCTGCTGCTCCTCTACCTCCTTCAAGCGCTCGGCAAGCTCCTTGCGCTGCTGAACCAAAGCTGTTCCCAGCTTTCCGGCCTCATCCAGGCGACGTTCGGTGTCGGCGATGTGTGCTTGCAATGCGCGCTTGGCCTGGTCGGGCGATGCGCCGGGGCCGAGTGCGAAGAATTGGCTGTCGTATCCAGAGTATCGCTGGTTGGCGGGACCCGGGGGAGAGACGAAGGGATCGTTCGCATCCGCATCGCCGGGCGGCAGATGTGGTTTATCGACGGCGAGTGAAGTAGCCATGTTGGTGGTAACGAGGGGGGCGCCGCCGTTAGATTCGTTGCGGCCACATTCAGTGCAATTATCCGGTGTAGGTTGTTGTCGTGTTGTCGCCTCGGTGTCTGGGTGGTGGTTGTGGTTGTCGCAATTGGCGGCCGGGTCGAGAACAAGCAAGCTCCGGTAGTTTGGCCGAGGTGGACGAGGTTGTGTTTGCTGCTGCTACTGCTGCGGATGCTGCAAGGGAAGCGCGGGGCGTGCAGAGCCGGCTGCCGTTCTGCTGGAGAACCTAGCAGGAAGTTTGTCGACACAACAGGTTGGACAAGAAAAAGAAGGACAAGAACCTAAGAGGAGGAGAGGGATCCGGAGAGGGGATCGCGGTGGCCGTGTATGGTCGAAAACGGAAAAAACAACAGCTTGGGACGAGGGGAGGGGAGAGGTGATGTTTTTTGTTGACCTTTGACTTTGTTGTTTGTTTCCCCCCCAGACAGCGGGTGCAGGCTGTGTGTTGTTGACTGGAATGCGTCCCCAGCAGTGGTGGTTCCCGGTCCGGGTTGTGTGATCGAGCCGCTGGCCAGAAATGGGCTACGCGACCAGCAGGATGTGCCCAGGAAAGCAGGGCAGTGCCTGTCGGCTTTGTTGTTTGGCCTAGAGTATCTGCACGGGGGCTGCAGCTAGAGAGGATGGGATGGGACGGGGTTGGTGGGATGGCCCTAAGCTAGACGCGCCCGCACCACTGACTTGCTTTGCTTGCAGCGCTAGAACGTCAGGTCCCAGCGGATTTCTCTCTCTCTCTTTCTTCCAGGTTGCTCTCCACACACGGACGCAATGAGGTCAGCTGAAAAGACCGGGCGGAAGACGACGTCTTTTGGACAGGTGTTGCCGACGAGCTGGGTAAAAAAGACAATGAGGAATTAACCGCCAGAAGGAGAGACAAAGGTATTATTAGGAAAGGTCTGCCGTTTCCCGGAGTCTCGGTTGGGACGGGCGAACGATACCAGGGGGAGAAAAAGCAAATGATCTGGCGTGTTCGGGAGGAGCAGAGGTCTCAGTCTCAGTCAGTCCCTGGGAAAGGCTGACTATCTGCAGATCCAGAGATTGCGGCACTGAGCTGTACGATGGATGCCCGCAATGCAGTGCGATACGGTGTGCGCAGCGGCGGCGGTGGAGGAGGAGTCAGGTGGGCGTGGGAGCGACAGTGACAGGTCGCCGTTGGATTGGCGACGGGCAACAAGCAGACTGCAGCTTTCCAATTGGTGAGGTGGTGACTGACTCTGTGTCTCTCTCTGTGTGGCCGCTGGTTGGGTATTCGCAGGGTCGCAAGTCGGTCGGTCGATCGGTCGGAAACGAATGAGAGTGCGCTGCGGCGGACGGAGTGGGCTGTGGGCGGACGACAAAGACTTGCGCAAAGATAAAAAAGAGTGACAAGAATAATAGATAACCAAAAGGGTAACGGGAGGTGGTAGTGAGGGTAGTAGGGTCGGGTAGATGCAGGTAAGATACCTGTAGGTTGGCGACCAAGCTGGATGATGGTTGGTACCGCGCGGTGAGGTGAGGTAGGGAAGGTGGGAGTAAACGCGACACCTAAATGTGTACAGGGCAAGGTGATGTAAGACGAAATAAAAAAGATGGGTGACAAGAAGGGTAAAATTAAAACAAAATGCCCCGAACCAGCATAGACATGAACAGCCCAGAGAGAAAAGAGATTATTACGTCTCTTGTATCTGATCTGATCTGATCTGTGTCCTGTGCGTGGTTGGTTTCCGATTACGGTCGTCAATTCGAATTCGTGATACGAATACTACGAATACAAAGTGGCGGTCCGTAAAGAGAAGTGAGGGACGAAAGAAACGCGGTCGCGGTTGTCGGCGTCGGCACGAAAAACAGAGAGAGGGGTGGAGGGAGGGAAAGGAGGGAGAAGGGGGTTAGTAAGGCGAGGCGAGGCGAGGGTTAATGGGAAAGAGGAGAAAGAATGAGAGAGAGGAGACGCGAGGGGATATTGAGAATGTGTTTTCCTCCTCTTCGACCGCAGAATGGATCCAGACCAGGACCAGAAAGAGCAGGACCCAGCACATGAGGTTTTGACGAGAGAGCCAGCTCCTCTCTGCCCGTTCGCTTGTGAACTAGGCCCCAAGCCTGAGCTTGTCCCATTTGCTTGCGAATGCCTGTCTGGCCCAGGGTTTTCTCAGCGACCTGCCTAGGATTGTTGGCAACGTCTCCATCCTCTCCAATGAACCACGACCAGGTGCCTTTCAGGGTTCCACCGTGGAGCTGCCACTCTTGAGTTGTGCAAGTGTGAAAGTGTGCAACTCGGGTACCTTACAGTATGTGGGTGTTGGCGGATCAGGTACATGAACTCTCGGCCGGGATGCGCCGACAACGCATGTACCTTACATACGCATCGTGTGCTCTCGCGCAGTACGCTGCGTGCCTTTTACGATAATTCGCCTTTCCCGTCAAGCCATCGCACGCCTATTCATGGCGTAGCTACCCAACTACCTGACCCTCGGTAGCGCTATTGAGCTGATGTGCAAAGCTCCCCTCGCCAACCGTTATTGCTTCCTGAATCTTCTTAAGACGGCATGATGGCATGGGCAGAGCCAACTTCCCAGAACCAAGCAACAAACTCCCCTGGCCGTCATCCATCCGGCGCATCATAATTATCATCACCACAACTGCCCCAGCTCAGCTCGACCCCCTTCTGGGGAGCCTTCAATTTCAGCATGCCTTAGCGAAAGCTTCTGGGGATCCATCCAGCGAGGCACTGCGAAGCCACTGTGACGACAGTTGCAGGGTCGCCGCACCCGGGTGCAGCCAGGCATTGGGGAATCAGATCGCAGCACAATCACAAGCACAGGGTGTCACTCTCCTCCTCCTCACTTACACAGAATGAGTACAGGGCACTGTACGGTCAGATGCTGGGGCGCCTCCTGCTGCACGCAGCACAGCTTCTGCATACTACTGCGCTCTTCAGGCAAGGTAAGCTCCGGAGCACCTATCGGCAGTCTGACTAGACTTCAGTGGCATGTGTTTTACGATGGCTTCATGCACCATCGAGGGGCAATGTTTACTCGTTCATCCAATCTTTTACCCTTCAGAGTCATACACTCTTTGTAGCTGTTTATCCCTCCACAACCAAAGCCGTAGCCAATCGAGGGGGTCAGATTCAACAACACAACCTCGTCCTCACACGGCCCTTGACCCTGGCGACCTTGTTCCCAACCTCCTCATATTCGAGTGAGATAGAGCGATAACCTCTACTGCGTAAACTACGGATTATCCGTCCCGCGAGTGCGCCCCTAAGCCAATTTTCCCCAGCGCGGCGCGGCATCATGCAAGCAATCAGTCGCATCGCGCATGGCATGGCATGGCGTCGGCAAGGCATAACTCATCCACCACCTCTCGCTTCTTCCCCCGCCAATCCATACCGCCATATCTCATCGCTTCAAAACAAAAATACACGCGATCTCCTCGATGTGTTTTTGCCTGCAGGCTGCTGGCCGTTGCCCGCATAACTTTGGCCAATTTTAGCCTGGTCTAGCGGTTCCGCTATGAGTCTGCGCTAGCCGATCATGGAAGCTTACCCCTGCAAGCTTCTCGTAATGACCCCGCTGTTGCCCAATCATGTCATGCCCTGGTATACCGCTGATTTGCACCTGTCAACCGGCGCCGGCCCAGCTCCAGCTGCCCCGCCCGTCAGCTGATTGGCCTCGCCCGTCACCATCGTCGCCCAGCTCAAGCCACGCGCTTTGTCAGCCTTGTGGCTTGATCTTCAGCCTTCTAGAAGTTCATCATTTGCGATCGACGCCCTAGCTAAAGAAGCGCCCCAGGATCACCCAAACTTCATTTCAACTACCGCCTTTCCAAATACCACTTGATAAATCTCCGGCAGACGAGATAAATACTGTCCGTTCTTCATCAAACACACGCACCCCACGAGCGAAGACAAAATCTCCCGCAGACGAGATACGAACTCTCCGTCCTTCATCAAACACACGCACCCCCACGAGCGAGCCCGTCCGGGTATTCCATAAGACATGGACGCAGGCGCAGAGGCTGCGGCTCCTCCCGTTGCCGTTTTCAAGAAGAGAGGGGCCAAGGGCAAGGCCAATATCCGCAAGAGGCCCGCCACGCCACCACCCGCCAACAGTGACTCCGACTCCGACTACTCCTCCGAAGACGAGACAGGCCAACGAGTAAAGAGACGGAAGAAGACCGGCGCCATCACCGCATCCTCAAAAGACCAAGCCGCCTCGAGGCAGGAGCTATCAGCCACAGTCTTCAAAGCCGATCGTAATGTTCCCATAACGGATAGCAACGATGCGACGAAGCACAGCAACTGGTATGACGAGGATGGCAAGGGCGCGCTCGACGCAAAGAACCTTCTTGGTTCGACACGGTCGAAGCCATCGCAAGCGCCTGACGGAACATACAAGGGGCTCGCAAACCAGACATCGTTCATCCAGAAGAACCCCGATGCGCCAAGCCGAACAGTAGGGCCCATCAAGGCACCTACGAACATCAGAACCATCACCGTAACCGACTTCGCTCCGGACACATGCAAAGATTATAAAAAAACGGGTTTCTGTGGATTTGGCGACAACTGCAAGTATCTGCACGCTCGCGAAGACTACAAGGCGGGCTGGCAGCTCGATAAGGAATGGGAGAGTGTCACAAAGGGCAAGAAGAATATAGGAGGCACCGTGGTAGCGAGCGCGGACAGGACCAATGTGGAGAACGACGATGACGATGAGGAGGACGCGATGCTGGAGAACATCCCATTCGCGTGCATCATCTGTACAGAGGCGTACAAGGCGCCGATCATCACGAGATGCGGGCATTACTTCTGCGAGCCATGCGCGCTCAAGAGGTACAGAAAAGACCCGACGTGTGCTGCCTGCGGGGCAGGCACAAACGGCGTCTTCAACTCTGCCTCGCGCTTGAAGAAGCTGTTGGAGCGCAAGAGAGAACGCGCTGCAAAGAAGCGCCAGGAGGCGATTGAGGCCGGTGAAGAGGTCAGCGATGAGGAAGAAGAATGAGTAACACGTAGATACCAGTGTCTATTTAGCCAAAATAGAGTCGACGAATGAGGTTTTCAAGAAGCGTCATCAGAAGTGTAATCTGGGCGTATGAGATAATCCATGTAAATATGCAAACCTGACCTTTGAACCAGTCACCAGCAACAAAGCCCCAAAATACAGATTGTCCTCCAACTCATGAGGTGCGCAGAATCGTCTCGCAGGCTGTGATTTAGTTTGCATGACCGTCTCTTTCCATCGCATCCTTGACTCCGTAGTTCCGATTTGCTTCATGATTTCTAAATGGAATTTGAGAACACCCACGCCCAGAAACAAGAAAGCCAGCAGACACGAGTTTCAGGCGGGATCGGCAAGTGCCTGTGCTGAACCACCTAGACAAAACACTGCGTAGGTGGCAGAGGCACACTCAAGACGGTTCAAACGGCTTTGGCAAATGAGATCCGTGCCCCTCCTCAGTCACTATGAATGGCGCCAGTGTCTTCCGAGATCCCGTCACCTCCATTTCAAAGTCAAGAGCTGCCTACCTAACCGAAGAGCCACCAGCGCCGATAAGATAAGCCCCTAGGCAGGCGTCACCCCGCCACCTACTTCCCTGTCCAATCGTGAGACAACCCCGCCATCCATGTGATCGGCCGGAACAGCTGCCACAGCTCTACTCCCAGTCATCTACATCAGGCGGAACCTCAGAGGCTACATCATTCCGGTGACGACAGAGAGCCGGGCCGCGACGCCGACTTCACTCTTACCAACTACATCTCCAGCCCCGCGAGCCGAGCACCGCAACAGACCCGCGCGCATCACATCGCATCGCATCACAACGAGTACAGACTATCCAACATACCCCGCCATTCTTAACGCAACAGCACGACCGAACACACACCGCACGCACCCACGTGCCCGCAGCAAACGACCATGAATCTCCTCTACTCGACCGTAAACACCCTGCGCGACCGCTACGCCCCGGTATCGAACAAGTCGACCTTCCGCCAGACGGGCGAGATCACCCCCGAGGAGTTCGTCGCAGCGGGCGACTACCTCGTCTACAAGTTCCCGACCTGGTCCTGGGGCGACGCCGACGCTGACAGCCGTCGCGCGAGCTACCTGCCCCCCGGAAAGCAATATCTCGTCACGCGCAACGTCCCCTGCAACCGCCGGCTAGACGACGACTTTGCTGGCGATGCGGGACACGAGGAGGCTGTCGTGGAGGGCGCTAGAGGCGGTGACGACGACGAGGACGGCTGGCTGCGGACGGGCGGTCTGGCGAGCTCGCAGCCGCTGAAGGTGAAGGAGATTCGAACGGTGGACGACTCTGGCAACGTCGGCGAGAGGGAGGTTGTTGAGGACGACGAGATCCCGGACATGGAGGACGAGGATGACGACGAGGCTATCATTCCCGACGCAGGAGAGAACAAGAACAGGTAGGCACTGGCTCTGGGCTAGCCGTCGCAATGTGATGCTAACATCTGCAAAAGTGGTCGCCGAACATACACCCTCTACATCATGTACTCGGCCTACTACCGCACACCCCGCCTTTACCTGTCAGGCTACAACCCCAACGGGCAGCCACTTCCCCCAAAGTCGATGATGGACGACATTGTTGGCGACTACAAGGACAAGACGGTGACGCTCGAGGATTTCCCCTTCTTCGCCAACAACATCAAGATGGCGAGCGTGCACCCTTGCAAGCACGCCTCGGTCATGAAGACACTGCTCGACCGCGCCGACGCGGCGCTCCGCATTCGCCGTGAGAAGCTAAGGGCCGGCAAGGCTGTGGGAGGTGATCAGGGCATGGAGGGTCTCGTAGACGAACTCGGCAAGCTCGATGTCAAGGACGCCCAGGCCATCGCCGATAAGAACGACGAGTGGGAGGAGGTTGAGCAAAGCGAGGTTGACGATCAGGAGGTTGCTATCCGGGTGGATCAGTACCTGGTTGTTTTCTTGAAGGTTTGTATCACGCAAATTGGGCACACGGCCAGAGTGTTTGCTAACAGGAACGCAGTTTATGGCCAGCGTGACACCTGGCATCGAGCACGATTTCACGATGGGAGTGTAAATGCTACTTGGCACGGTTCTGGGTTAGGAGTCTGTTTCCTCACGGCTTGCACACCACTGCGGGTTTTCATTATCAGATTTGGACACGGGGTTAGATTACGGGTAACGGCGATAACGAGAATTCCATTAGACTACAAAGTCAAGAAGACACCATGGCATTGTGTTTCACTCTAATCATCCTTCATGACCATGGGTAGGCATTGCGTAAATTGCGGCCGTGTTTCCGGTTTCGATAATGTGCAATCAGAACACAGCATCCGAAAAGAAGGTATGGAGGACTGAGGTTCATCGTGACCATTGAACCAACTTTCCAGCGCAAATGAGCTTCAGCTGAGTTGGACTAGCATCTAGACCTGTCCGAGATTTACTCTTGGTCACATTCTCTGGTTAGCTGCCATCCAGCTTCTAGGTGTCTCGCCATATTCCTCCTCGATTTGTCTTCCCGCAGACGAGATAATTATCACCTTTGAAAACTTGGCCGCGATATGCAACCGCGTGGTTTCTCTCCAACTTCTCTTTGGAGTTTATAAGCATATAGTCGTACTTTCAGTACGTAGGAGATAGAGTAGCAGAAACACAGGAAAGATATGTTGTTTTCTTCTTCTGGGACTATTGACTACCTACTAGCGAGGACCAGATAGAGACATTAATTTCTAGTATGGCCACGTCTCCTGAAACCCATTTCAAGTAACCCATAAGCAAACTTTTGAGAACTTGCAGACGAGAAAACTCCGCTTTGCAAATGGAGTACTCTCGCCTGCTAATGTTTCGACCGAGAGAGGCAGTATCAAACTTAACCGACCTCGTAGCGTTGTTGAGCCATGTGCGCACAAATTCCAATATGCATTTCATGGATGCAATATCCTGAACGTTTGAATTACATCTGGTAGGCCGTCTTTATCTAATCATCTAGCTTGATGAACAGGACTGCCTTCATTGTATATTCATAACCAACACAGCCTAAGATGTCTCGTATCTACTTCTACTCATGCTGAGAACTCGCTTCAACGCGAATGGATCTCTTACCGTAGCCTCACGGGTCGTAGCGGAAAGTTATCATAGCGCTCAGCGTCTAGCTAACCGCGCAGAACAAACCAGCTCAAGTCTACATAACTAAGAACTGTAAGCTGCCGTTCGTTCGTTCTTCTCGTTGGATCACTTCACAGTGACTCTCGCCCCACGCAAATTTTCATCTGAAAGACTGACTGACTTGACCTCAGGGACGAACAAAACCAAAAAGCCAACATCGTAACACCCACAACCGCTAACCCACGTAATCAAGCCAAAAAGATGCGCCGAGGGGGAATCGAACCCCCGGCTCCCCGACGCTGCTTGATGGCAACGGAGAATTTTACCACTAAACCATCGGCGCTGGTTGGATGATCCTGGCGATGCTGGGATCGGTGAGGGGCGGAGGGTGGATGCGGCTTCATATTCGGGTGGGGGTCGATGATGGGGAGGGAGCTGGGCGATAGGGCTTCGAAGAGACTTCCACATTGTTCATGGTTATGGCTTGCGTCCTATCAAATTTTCCCCGGGAACTTGGCTGTTTTGTAGGTATTGAGGGCCCTCTGCAGGGCGAGAAATTTCATCTCATGAAACTCCTAGCTGCCTCGATAGTATATGGCTCTGTATGTTCATGGAATATCAATCACATAGCCAGTATATTATTCCATCGTGTGAGTTCGACTAATCAGCTTCTTTCTGTGTACTGACCCTTGGGTTGTGGTTCACTTAGGCCGTTGATTTCGTAGAACCTGTAGAGTTATGGAAGACCTGCCGAGATCACCTAGTCAATATGTCCATGAAAGCATCACGATTTAAAAAAAAACAGTACCTTTCTTATGATCAGCCAGGTTTCTCTTAGGCTTAAATCTCAATAGCTTTTTGTCTTTGTGGCCCCCTCTGTCACATGGCACCTAGGTAAACTACGTGCATTGCTCTTATTCCATGGGCTGTAGGTCAATCATGCTGTTTTGAATTCTATATCAAGATTCCCACTAGCCTTAAAGAGCAAGGCTGATGATTTCGCATGTCAAGACGGTTGTCATCTCAGTGTAGATTCTGGAGTCTACGAGATGAAGCAGCAGGCTCAAGGTCCAGCAGCGAGAACTTCCGACAGGCTTGGTGATCAGCGTCAAGACAAAGAACTGCGGCAGTCCGAAAGAGCCCAGACGGATTTCTGACCAGATTGAACTCTTTGACGCTGCGATGTCACTTCTTCAATAACATGGCCACTTATTAAAACCGCGGCAAACCATCCCTCTCCCCAAGCTACCTCGATATCATCAGAACTCTGGCTGCGAGAGTAGTACTGATAGAATTGTTGTTGCATCTGAAGACAGAGGACAGTACACAAGCAGCGAGGAAGCCATCGCATGCCTTGATTTAATGTTCTACCAAATTAACATATCCCATGTTTAGATTTGCCTAGCCGATCATTAATTCTATTCGCGCAGTTGAGTAGCCAGCTTTTACAACAAGGCTGGTTTTGGAACTGGCAATAGACGCAAGCAATCAGATCGCATGAGTCTATGAGAAAGTTGACGAAGGCTGGTTTCCTACAAAATTCAACGCAGTTCCAAATATCTTGGGTTATGGTTACAAGGGAACCGAACTTGTACGTAGCACACCAAAGTAGAGCCTGCATGATGAGTAAAAGTCTGTGACTATGAACCCAGGTTTTCAGGTTCAGAGGACGAATTGTCATCTAGCCTTGCTGAGCTGATATCGTTGTAAGTCAACCGCTACCTCTTAAACGTTGCGTTTGGCTGCTATTGTCTCCGTGACAACTTTCAACACAACTTCAAGGCATAAAGACCTGTCAACTCTCACCAGAACATGCAATGCACTAGAGGAGGAAACCAGGGGCTACGAACTCCTCACCAAGACTTTGTGTGTCAAGCGACACGGCTATGAACCAGCTTCTCCCATATATGAAATGACAG